GTGCTGGGTTCTTTTCTTGGCTGCCTCTGAGTGACCCTGAGCAAATTACCTCAAACTCCCAGTTACAAGACGTGGAGATAATCCCACAAACTACCTTCCACATTAGCTCACAGCCTGGCTTCCCAGAGAATGCAATGTGGATTAGAGACAGGTTCTGTGAAAATGAAGAATTATCACTCCTATAGATGACTATTATGTAACGAGATTAATCCTCCTAACATCTTCCACGATTTAGGGTAAGCCCCAAGCTTTAGCGTTCCTTCCTTCTCTAGACATAGTCACTTGAAAATTGAAGGCAAGCGTTCACAACTACTGCATTCATTCCATCTTCCCAGTTTAAACCTAAATTTGATTTTTTTTAAAAATCCTTTCTCTTTTTTCCTCAGTCAAAACTACACAATACTTCAGGTATTCGCACTGAGACAACATTCTGAATTTTCTATTTAACTCAAAGAAACTAAAAATAGTCATCGTCATAGAAAGAGTAAGTGTACTTTAGTCAAGGGCAAAGTTCCAAATCCCCTACCTCCTAAATTTCAATACATAGTTAGAAACAAAAAGTTAATTAATGACAGAATGCATCGAACATATTTTTGAAAACGAATGACAAAGAATTTGCACTACCAAGGATTTTGTGTATATGGAACGTGACAAGCTGATTCTAAAATTTTATAAAACTGCCAAAGGCCAAAAATACCGAAGGCACTTTGAAGAATAAGATGGCAGGCCTTGCTCCAGCCTTACCATTAAGCTACCATAAATAAGGCAATGTAATATTACAACAAATGGCTTAATGGAACTGAACAGAGAATTCAGAAGGTAACACAGACGTATAAAGATGCTTGATCTATGGCAGGAGTGCCCAGAACAGGCGTCCCCAAACTTTTTACACAGGGGGCCAGTTCACTGTCCCTCAGACCATTGGAGGGCCGCCACATACTGTGCTCCTCTCACTGACCACCAATGAAAGAGGTGCCCCTTCCTGAAGTGCGGCGGGGGGCCGGATAAATGGCCTCAGGGGGCCACATGCGGCGCGGGCCGTAGTTTGGGGACGCCTGGCCCAGAGGAACAGCTGGGAAGGAAAGTATTTCCACTCTGTAATGCTAGCACCAGGGCTGACCAGAAGGACCCCTCCCTCACACAGTCATGTATATCTTCTGGGTGTAATCAAAGACCTGAAGTTAAAGGCAATATTACAAACCATTTTTTTTTAACTATAAAGATTTTTAAAGATAAAAGAATATCTTCATGACTTCAGAATAAGTCCTTAAAACAAGACACAAAGGGACTAAACATGAAAGATAGATTTGTTGTTAAAATTAAGAATTTATCAATCATCAAGAAGAAAATGAGGGCTGGATGTGGTGGATCATGCCTGTAATCCCAGCACTTTAGGAGGCTGAGGTGGATCAGTCGAGCTCAGGAGTTTAAGACCAGCCTGAGCAATATAGTGAGACCCCCATCCTGAAGGAAAAAAAAAAGAGAGAGAATGAAAAATAATCTGCCAAAAGGAGACGGCATTTACAACAAATATAGCCAACCAAATACCAAATTATTTGATTGAATACCGAGGATTAGCATCCAGAATATATCCTACAAACCAATGAGAAAAGAAAAAAAAAGCTTACACAACATAATGCAAAAAGAAAAAACTCGAATGGAGTCCAGCACAGTGATTCTTGCCTGTAACGTCAGCTACCTGGGAGGCTGAGGCAGAAGTATTCCTTGAGCCCAGGAGTTAGAGGCTGCAGTCAGCTGTCATCATGCCACTGCACTCCAGCCCAATCCACATAACAGAGCAAGACTCTGTATCTCTTAAAAAAAAAAAAAAAAAAAAAAAAAGACTTGAATGGGTGCTTTTCAAAAGAAGAAATCCAGTGCCCAATAGACATAGGAAGATGCTCATATGACATTGCTAATCAAGGAAAAGTAAAATAAAACCACAATGAACATCTACTGTATAAACATCACATTAGCTAAAATTAAAATCTGGCAACACCAAGTGTTGATGAACAAGCACTCTCATACATCATGGAAGCAGAGGTGGAAATAAAAAATTTTAGGCCGGGCATAGTGGCTGACGCCTGTAATCCAAGCACTTTGGAGGCCAAGGCGGGCGGATCACCTGAGGTCGGGAGTTCAAGACCAGCCTGACCAACATGGTGAAACCCGTCTTCAAAAAAAAAAAAAATTTCTAAAGGTATGTTATACCTTGTAACTGAGCAATCCTACTCCTAGGCACACATCCTACAGACAAACGTTTATGTAAGATGCTCTTTGCAGCACTGCTTATAATAGCCAAAAACTGAAAATCTCAAAGTACCCATGACGGTAAAGTGGAATAACAGTGGTATTGATGAAATGGCACATTATACAGCAATGAAAATGAATGAAACACACCATGTGACATTGAATCTTATAGGCAATGTTGAGTGAAAAACACCAAACACAACATACAGTGTGATTCTATTTTTATATAAGGCCAAAGTAAGCAAAACATAAACCATGTTGTTATATACATAGCAGGCAAAATAACTCTTAAAAGGGTAGAAGGAGAACTACCAAAAGTCAGGATAGTTACCTCTAGGGGCAAGCTGAGAGTCAAGAAGGGACACACGGAGATTCTGGAGTGCTGGCAGGACCTCCTCTGCATCGGCTTTGGGATTACACAGCTGTTGCTTTACCCATTAAACTTAGTTTTAAGTACTTTAAGTACTTATTTGTAGGTTATATTTCACAAAATTTAAAAGAACAAGGGAGAACTTCTACTACCAAATATTAACACCAAGTGAGGCCATAATTATTGGTAGTGTGGAAAAAAAATCAGAAGGCCCAGAAATTTGCCTAAGACACACAAGAATTTAATATTCTATAAAAATAGCATTAAGAATCAGAGGGAAAATGGTGGTTTCAGATACTGAACAAACTGGTAAAGGCTTTGAAATAAAATCAAATCCCTACCTTATATAATATGCCCAAATACATTTGAGATGGATTAAAAATTTCCTTTTCACCCCAAACCTGTAGAGTTAACGTATATAAACAAAACTTAAATTCCTTTTAAAGACAGATGTAAGGTGAGGTAAGAATGTACCAGAAGAAAATAAGGACAATTGTTTTTCATTCTTGGATTACAAAAATAAGTTCAAGCACATACACAAAGGTAGACTCCTAAAGAAAGTACCTTCTACACTGAAATATCACAAACTATGAAGGCTAAAAAAAGTTACAATATATGACAAGACATTCTTAATAAATTATTAACAAATAAAAAAAAGCCACCGAGTTCTCCAAGCAAGTCACAGAAAAAATATGAATGAGCAATTCTCAAAAGAATGAATATAGAATGGCCAATGAACATGAAAAAAACACAACCTTCACTAAGTCATCAAAAAAATACAAATTTTAAATGCAGTCCTTTTCTGTAATTATTCAATTTGCAAAGATTGTAAGTAGTAATTTTCAATTCTGAGTGTCAGATATATTGCTAATGGGAATGTAAATGAACATGTTCTCTGGTGAGTGATATATATGAAGAGTCCCAAAAACACTTTCACCTAAGAATTTCATTTCTAGAGAGGTATCTTCTGGAACTAAGTCATTTTGTATAGATGTGATTAAGATGCTAATCACATCAGTATTTACAGATTACATTATAATAAATAATCAAATTGCTGAAGAGGAAATCAATCTGAAAGTTAGGGTACACCCATGAAATGAAATATCCTACAGCTATCTGAAAAGCAAAATATTTAATATGGGAAAATGTTGGTAATACATAAAGCAGACTATGAAGCAATGTACATTATGACTGCATTTTTGAGAATATAAATGTATAACTATGCATAGAAAAATAAGTAAAAACACAAAACCAAAACGTTAACAGAGGTTCTCTCTCTAGGTGGTAGGATTACAGGGAACTGTGCGTACAGACACATGAACTCTTCCATATTATTCAGCTTTCCAGAAATAACATGTGTTATTTCATTCTAGAGAAAGAACATCAAATTTTACACTGTGAAATCATTTACTCTTAGTTTTAAGAACTAAAAATAATGAGAATCTTAGGTCAGTATACTTTTCACATTGGCTTGTGGGGGATAAGGATGGAAACAGTAACTACACTTGGTAGCAATGTCAAGTCTTTTTCAAAAGTAAAAAGTTATATTTAATTAAGTCCCGGTAAAACATCACCATTAGCATTTGCGGTTGTTCTAATTAGTTTTTTATTCTTCAACACTTTTAAAGACTCCAATATATTAGACAAAGAATTTTTGATAATATAAGTTAATTTCTCTGGAGACAACCATATAATCCTCTAAAATGACATGAAGGTTTATGTATGAGACTGAGGTTTCTGCAGTCTATATATGCCTCTTTTGGCAAGAAAAGCTAAGTACTGACAATTCAATTGTAACAACAACAACAACAACAAACCCAAAAAAAACAAAACTAGTTTCCTTAACAAACATTCATGTTCTGTACATGAACCTATCATCTGTGACAGCAAGGAACTCAAGTCAGGTGATGCACAAACCTTCACCTAGCTCAGTTAGCTTGGACTTTTCCTATACCAGGATTTGCCTGAAGTAACATAAGATTATTTAAAAAGACCTCCACCCTCCAGCATCCACTCGAAAGGGAATTCCTTCCTAATCAGAAGAGTTAACATTCTTCCTAAGGAAAGGCTGAAAAAAGGAGAAAAGCATTTAAGCATTTTCTATGCATGTCATCCTAGGTATTTCACATTCACTGTCTAAATAACGCCATGCCAACGTGCATACAGCTCTTTAGGCTGCTCCCTTTGTTACCCAAAAAAGAAGGGAACTATATCTTCCTCACAGATTTTAGATGCCTGGGACAAGTAAGTATTTCACTGAAAGACGTGTAATAAATGCTATTTGATAGGTAAAAATAAGGAAAAAAGCAAAGTTACCTCTTTTCATTTGGCTTAAAGAAATAAAGTATGTTCTACTGTATACTAAAATATCAGACCAATACACAACATACTGCGAAATTGTAATACAATGTGGTTAAACACCATATTCAAATATTAAACTTTTCAAGCACACGAAAGCCATTTTCTGAAAGACAAAATGGGATTTTTTTATAACTACCTTTGTGTAACTTTATGAAATTACTTCCCTCTACAATTTCTGACACTGATCTTGATACTAGTTAGAAAGTCTGATGTAAAATGATGACATCTCAACATCACTGATTTAGGAGATTATCTTCAGAATTCGTCAGAGGACCAATCGTCATCTTCATCCCTTACTTCTCGGTATCTCCCTGAAGACTCCCCTTCTGGATTATAACTCCGCATTTTAATATTCAGTCTTTCAGCTAATTTTTGCGCAGCGAGCTTTGCTTGCATCTCCTTTAAAACAAAGAGCAAAGCAGAAAGTTACATATTCACATCTCTTCCTTACAATTTTTCAATGGGAAGTTATCTAGAAACAGAAATAAGAGGGGCACTGGCAACTCACTGAGTACTCTCTCGGTCAAGACGAGCCTGATGGCTGCGCCCTATCACAGACACAACAGAGCAATGCTTCTAACGGCCACCAGCCTGCTACAGCTGAAGTTACTGACCTCCATTAATAAACAACATTGCACTGAAATACACTCTTCTGTACAAAAAACTGAGTAATCACTTTAGCACTACAATAGTTATAAATATAGATGCATTAAATATGTGGGCACGTGCACATATATACACACTCACCTAACAACTTGAGCTATCAAATGTCAAAAATCACTAACACTGTCTAGATTTCTACAACTGACAGAACCTTCTTCCCTAATTACAATCACGACTTCTAGACTTGAGAACTGAGTTTCAGTGGCAAAATAAAAATCAGGAAATTAATACAAAGAAGCTATTTCTCTCCAAATAAAGTCCTACAGCAACTAGTATTCAATAAGAAGTCCAAGTAAATTTCGGACACTGGCAATGTGCTTATAAACCTCCAAGGACTTTACCACCAACTGATGGTAGCTGGCAAAGTCATTCCTAATTCGGTTCTTCCCTTTTCTCATGCTTTCTTGAGGTTCTTGATGTCCTTCACTTCAAACCATGAATATGAGTAAGTAAAAGTCGGAGCCATTACTACCACAACCTCTCTGCCAAGAAAACCAATTTCAAGCTGAAGGATTTAATTGAACCTAAAAATATCTTAGGTCCAGCATTTAGGAGCCCAGAGCCAATTTAAGAAACACTTCCTCAATGCTATGGTCATGACTAGTCAGTTATTTTAATGCACTGAGAGAAAGAAAAATGTTTTTTTTTAAAGAAGAGCACCTTGAAAATGCCAATCCATGCCGAGCCTTTTATGAAAAGCCAACGCAGATTATCAGCCTGTTTTGTTGTTCGTTTTTTGGAGATAGGGTGTCACTCTGTCATCCAAGCTGTACAGAGTGCAGTGGTGTAACTGCAGCTCACTGAAGCCTCAACCTCCTGTGCTCAAGCAATCCTACCTCAGCCCCACACGTAGCTGGGACCACAGTCACATGCCACAATGCCTGGCTAATTTTCTTGCGAAGATGGGGTCTTGCTATGTGCAGCCTGGTGTTATACTAACTGGTGCACTAGTACCTGACTAAAATCAAATAAGCAATATCTAGGAAATGAGACAGGACACTGTTCTCCTGGAGGCTAAAATTATTACTAAATACTTCTAAACTTTCCTATTCCCCTATGGTCCTTCACACTCATTTTCTCCCATCCCATTATTCTGTATGCAAACTCTCAACACACGTTTAAAGTTCTAGGCAGAACACATGGAAAGAAAGTGCTATGCAAAACTGATTACGCTGCCAAAAGCAGGAGATTCTCTCTTCACATGGGCCTGCAGATTACGCTCTGAAGCAGTGTCTCATTGTCTGCTGGCTACACATTATCCTCCCACTCCTTCTATGCCCTCCCCTGTATGGCAGGAGATAGAAGCCTGGGAACTACATTTTCCTCATTCTAGAAGGGGTCTGGGTTCGAGTCCACCACTGAGAAGCTGTGACATGGGTTTTACAAGGTGAAAGGGAGAGACAGGGAGAGATGCGATGCCACTACTATCCTAACAGGAACAGGCAGGCACATGAGCTTTAAGACATGAAATTCCATAGCAGTCTCCCCACATTTTCTGGCAAATCAAGACTGCTGTTCATCTCTAGCTGTTTCCTGCAGTTCTACCAACTTTGTGACTCTCTGAAAACCAGTGGCATAGGTCTCAGCTCACGGAAGCACCTAATCCCCTCTATTCCATTCCATCCTCCTTGAACCTGGAGTAAATTCTGACTTATGCAAGCAGCACCCAACAAACAGAAGAGAGAAAAATAATACTCTAAATACCTCATAATTCTGTTTCTGCTGTTTCTGAAGTGCCAAAGATTCTTCTATGGAGAGCAGCTGCGTGGGCATATGGTGAAGTGGTAGAAGCCGAGCTGCTGTGATGTCATCAAGATGCTGCTTATCCCTGCACCGCCGCTCTTCTGAGGAAATAGGAGACCCCCTCTTCTGACAATCACCGGATGAATCAATTTGTCGAGAAGGTAATCTGATGAAAGGAAAACTTGTGTTATACAGACAATTTTCTTTATTTATAGACACGTTTAAACCATTCAGACAAATGGCCTTTAACCTTAGCAATCAATTCTCCTCCAAAGGTAATAGTAAGCAGTTTACCAATATTCATTGCTCTAACAAATAGGAGTGTGTTTGTGTGCGTACAGGCTCTTTGTCTTTTCCTTCCTCACCAAACCTTCTACTTTAACTGGAGCTTTTCTTTTTTCATTTATTCATTCAAAGAACATTTGCAAAAGGGCTTATCTAGTAGAGAGAAATAAACATGTAAAGTTTCAGTGTAATAGAATACCAGAGGTACTATGACAGATATCTCAACAAGATACACTAGAACATAAGGAAATGGCCAGTTCCAGTGGGAGACAGGGAGGTTGTCAGAAAAGCTTCAAAGAATTGACACTTGAACAGTCTTGGAATAATAACTGCTTACCATGTAAATGAGGAGAGAAGTGCATCCCAGCAAGGGGAGTGAGAGGAAGTAGAGGAGGTAGAGACACCCAGCTTTTCTGCTATACAGAAAAGACGGCCAGAAAGAGGGCTGGGAAGTAGGATGAGCTCAGACTGTAACGAAAAGTTCCATGTAACAAGTTCAGATTTCCATCTTAAAATTTCACTCTGGCAGCAGTGAAGACTGACTGGTAGTTAAAACTAGAGGTGGGAAGAGGCCACAGTTGTAGCCCAAGAGAGGTGAGTGTCTTCACTCTGACAGAAGATGAAGAACAATTATACAGATGAAGATCAAGGAAATACGTTATGTAGGTCTTCATGGCTAGCAGATAGGGAGATGAGAAAAATGAAAGATACCTTGGGGGAAGAAAACCAAGAAGAAGGTGGGGATACTATCAGAGAATATGGAAATTACCTTGGAAAGAAACAGGGGTTCCACTTAGTACATGATTAAACTGAGGTGCCAGGGAACACCGAAGTGGTCAAGTGTCATGGGTAATTGGCCCTGTAAACCTAAAAGTTCTGGAAGATCTGGAGTAGGGGTAGACAGAGGACAGCCTCCAGCATCCAGGTGATACACGAAGCAAGAAGAGTATGCAGAAGGAAGAGGAGAAAGGATCCAACGGACACTCCCTGACCACATTTTGCAACCTCCAAGCCACTTCTTACATGGAACCCTCTCAAGTCCTACATGTGTACAGCCTACGGACTCCTCAAAGCCTTGCCTTTCCTGTTCTCCTCTAACTATACAGGACGCTCCCTCTCTCTTAAACTTCCTGAACTCTTGGTAGCCCTCATCACTATTCCCTTACCTCTCTCCAACTCCCAGACAAATGACCATAATACAGAACTAGGATTAATGTATTCTTTGTTGTATTTATTGGCTAGATGATGGTTCTACTTTTCTAAAATGTCATCCTGGAAGTGAAAAGTATACCTCACTGTACAAGAGATTACCTGACCGCATTAATATACTATAATCCTGATTTTCTATAGAGCAGAAATAACATGTTTTCAGGTTAAAATGAATGCTGGGGTTGAGTTAAAGTGTAACCAAAAAAAGCATGTTTTAGGTACTTTTCACTAGAGGTTTTGTTTTTCAGAGAAAGGTAGTAGTGATTTAACTGCGTATTTGATGTTACATACTTGTAAATACAGCATAGGAAGGTACCAGTTACCTGAGCTGAACGTGACGTTTGCTGCAAGTAAATAACAATTCTTTTCCAAAAGATTTATTATTTTTCCTGAAATTTCAGAAATCAATTTATGGCAAGAAACTGATAAGCACTTTTTGCCCATCCTGCATAAATACAGTTTTCAAACCTCTTCTCAGATTCCTTCCCCCTGAAACTATTATTATGTAGTTTAACTCTTTTCAAAGTGTGTAAACCTTGGGTCTTCATCTAGCTCCTAAACTCACTGAAGAACACGGAGTTTATTACATCATACATGTATACATTATGGCCATGTTTTTAAACTTGAGATATAACATTAAAAAGGCAAAGGAGTTTAAGAATTTTGACTTCACTCATATAGTGAGCATGGAAATCTCCTTTGCTGGAAAGCCCATCAGCTCCTGCAACTGCTTTACCCTTAGTTCACAGACTAATCAAAGTGAGTACACTTTGATAGCACACTAATCAGAGCTGTACATTAAAAAATGGTTCTCAAAAAAAGTCATAATAAATTCTCTCTCTGACTCTGTGTTTATTATGAAATATTGGGTCACATCCTGAAATTTAATACTCCCCCACGTGCTATTTAAGACCTTTTCAATTATATGGTTTCAAAACTAAGTATTTTTCAACATGAATCTTCCACTCCACCCAGGCTGGTCTGTGTTTCCACAGTATGTTCTTTCCTAATAAGCAGTTCTTACACAAAGCCCACGGAACTTAGAGCGTTTTCCTTTTTTTTTTTTTTTAAGAGAAAAGGTCTTATTATGTTGCCCAATCTGGTCTCCAACTCCCGTACTCAAGCTATCTTCCCACCTCAGCCTTCTGAGGAGCCTGGGACTACAGGCAAGCACCATCACAACCAGCTTCTCGTAACTTTGTGAGTTTAACAAATATTATGTTCCTGTTATAGGCCTGTTTCCGATGGTACTTACACATTGGTCTTAAATTTATGCAGCTGGGGCACTGGGTTTTTGGCTCGCATTTCTAGCACTTCCATGTAATGAGGCTTCTTCTGAGTCCCGTTAGAAAGGCCTGTCAAGTCCGTAGCACTTGTGTTTTCTTCTGACTGTTGTTCACCTCGGTCTGCAATGGTGATCCTCTGTAACCTGTCAATAAACAGGTTGTCAAAGCTGCTAGAAGTATCTTCTGCTCTACTTGAAACCTGATGCTGCAGGTGATGCTCACTAGCTTCAGATGAAGGTGGCACTCTGTCTCTGTTGCTGGAAGCTGGGCCCTTACTCACTGTGTACTCAACCTCTGGAGTCTCTTCATCACCCTCATGAGTAGGATGTCCAAGTCCCTGGTTTTGTGAGGTTGTTTCAGATGACTTGATGTTATCTACAGAGGAACCGCCAGGAACTAGTGATGAAGTATCAAGTATCTGGTCAGAATTCTGGGCCTTATCTGTAACGACATCAACTTCTGCAGTTGCTTTTTGCCTTAGTTTACAGTCTAAACTAACAGGATGAAAGAGTTCACTTTTTCTTCTAACTTCTTCACGTTCTGCAATGGCAGCTTTCAGTTTGGCAACAGAGTCAAAAATCTTTTTACCTTTGTCGGGCAATTTGCAAATGAATTTTCTGTCAAATGGAAAAGAATATGTATATATTACAGCCATGTTTTTAAACTTGACTTACAACATTAAAGAGGGTAAGCATTAACTCCTAAGAAAGAAAAGCCAATTTTTAAATCAAGTATCTGATTTCTAACTTCTCCAAAACAGGAATAAAACAAATAAAATGGTCATTATCCAAAGAGCCCAAAAAACAAGGAATGCAGGAACAGGGAATATATGCCTCATTTGTCTTAGCAAATTAGAATTTTAGCAAAAGTACTTTAAGCATATAATAATCACATAAAGCATTCCAAGAACCAGCATTCATTAAATCTCCAAAATTTGAGGATGGGGTTGAGTGTGGGGATGGGTCTATTAGGTCAAAACTACTGCCATCATAATACCAAGATGTTTTCCCTCTCATTTTCTCACATGGGTACAATGGAGTTTTCCACAGGCTACATGACATGTGATGACATCATTGTTCTAAAACAGAATGTGTGCTTGTGTATACTTGTGTTTTAAAGACTTCAGCTGTATTTCTGATAAGTAAATAATTTTTGCTAAACAATAAAATAAGTAAATTTTTTAAAAAGTAAATAAAATTTGCTAAACACATAAAATAACTCCATGGGATGTCAATAATTCTTAAAGTATAAAGGAATCCTGAGACCAGAAAGTTAATTCACTGCTATAAATTAAAAACCTATTCTCACAAGGTCAAAACACCTGTCTTGACCCCAATCAAGTATTTATTCATCCCTTTTTTTGGATATCAGAGTTCCTTTTCTGATTCCCTTTTCTTTATACAATACATGGAGAGAAAAAATTAACTCTTAGGTCCTCTGTTCTTTTTGACAATGCATTCATTCTCACAATTGACAACACTCTACAGCTAAAATTCCTATGTTTTCTGTATTTTTCCAGACTTTCTCTTTCTTGAGCCTCATGACTACTTCTCCAGCTTTTGTTTGGTTTTCAATGAACCAAACGTCTGTCCTGCTCTCCTTTCACCTCTGCACACCCTAAGTAAAATCAACCTTGGATCTATTCCTCTCCCAGAATTTTCCTATTTTTTGCTAGTGGTGTTCCATACATACCGGAAACTTCAGCCATCTCTGTCAACTACATTTAAATTAGTCCATGCTTAAAGTTTTCCCAATTCCTTCCTAAGTTCACTTTGTTACAACTCTCTCGTGGGGAGCCTCTCTGCAAATAGCCTTCTACTGTCTTCTGCTTTTTATTCCTTCAAACCATCTTTTGCACCAAGCTGCTAAACAAAACTGTCTGAAACACAAAATCCCTTTTATCACGTGGCTCCCCTGCTAAAATCCTTTAAATCAGCCAGCTGAATGAGGGTCGAACTTTCTCGGCCTAATAAACCCCTCCTCACATCCCATTTCCTACGGTTCCTGCAAGCATAGAATCCAGAGATGAAGCTGATAATTCGTTATGGGTTAGGGGCGCGGGCGGCAAAAAGGTTTAGAACGCAGACTCTTGCTTCATGGGACCAACAGAGTGCCCGGGAAAATAAAACCAGCGAGGAGCTACTAAGTCACTGCAACGCTAAGGAGCAGTCCAGTCCGAGTCATCCTCTCAGGCAAACGTGCCTGGCCAGGAAGACGGACGGCTCTGCAGCAGCAAGCCCTCTGTCCAGTTGCCCGGAGGGCTGAGGCGAATGTGACTGATGCAAGGTCACCTTCCAGGGAAGTGAATGGAGTGGGGGAGGGAAAGGGAGGGGAGGGCCCAGGGAGCTCGAGCTGAAAGAGCCTGGCAGTGACTCCGCGGGACCCCAGCTTACACGTTGCGCAAAAGTCTCTCCTGGCGCTTCAGCATTTCCCGCAGCTCCACCAAACTCCGCTGCCCCAAGTCCTCGGGTGCTTGGGGCTCGAAGCCGCGGGGCAGCGAGGACATTCTGCGCAGGCTGAGGCTGGCGTGGCGGCGGGCACTCGGCTTCCTCAACAGGCCCCGCAGCTAGCGCCGGATCCGCGGCCGCCGGTGACTCCGGGGCACGAGCGGGAGTCGCCATTTTCCCGGAAGAACGGGATCTTCTTCGAGCCGAATCGAGCTTTATTGAAATGCCGGAAACAAACACGGACCGGGAGAAGGGGGCGTCCGGGGATCGCTAAAGGACGGAAGTGACGTCGGATGACGCCGGCGCCTCGGCTTGGCGCCCTTTCCCCTCGTGGGAGCGTTTTTCCCGTCGTCAGCAGTGCATCGGTTTGCACGAGAAGTATTCTGCGCCAGTGTGACCTCACCAGGCACTATGTGTTAATCAACAAATAGCCACGTCCTCTGCGAAAGTTGGAGTTTACGGAGTGGGGAGGTGAGAGGGACAATCAAATAATAATACAATAGTAACGTTGGGTTAGACACCTGGGAAGGTATCTCTGAGAAGTGAAATTGAAGTGGAAACCTTAAGGATGCGCTGGCCGGTAATGAGGTAGGGGAGAGTGTGAGACAAGATTTGGGAGACTCCGGCCTCTGTGTGGTGCCTCCTAGCTCGGCTTAGTGACGTTCAGGAATGTTAAAAGTTGGAAGGTTCCTTCTTCTTGGGGCTCGACGGCATTTGGAGCAGGACTTCATTTGCGGCACCGCCTCAGGCATTGTTGAGACTTTAGGTGTTTCTGGCTTCTGGCTGCTAGGTGCTATGGCACTCCCAAATCATCGCAACAACCCAGAACGTCTCCCCTAGCATACACGTCCAAAGGCCCACAAGAGATGAGGAGTGGGAGCGGCTGTACAAACTGCTTGAGGACCTTTTCTAATTTCCTACTTTGCCAGGAGAAAAACAGTCAGGAAAACTGAAATAAATATTCCCAGGGCACAAAACCAGTGACAGCACCTGATTTCAAACCCAAAAGCCCTGCTGCGTTTCCACATACCAGTTTGAAAATCCCCTTCTTCACTTAGATCTATTTCCAAATGTGTAAAACGGTTGAAAAGACTTTTTTTTTTTTTTACAGCTGTTGAGAATGCAGCAGGTTAGTATCGGACCCGGCTTTTACCTTATAGTTCCTCTACCAGAGGTGAATCCCAGTGGAAAGAGTTGGAAGATGTGCAGTCACAGCAGATGTCACTCGGGAGGTTTGAACACCCCATAACCTCCAAAACCACGCCCTCCCCCAATTTTTTGATATAGAAAATTGAAGTTGTGTCAATCCTACGTAAGATGCTACATAAACACAAACAGCTCCGTCCCAAAGAGACAGACGATCTAGGTAAAATCCAAAGCTATTCCAGGGAGCACAATTACAACCATTTCTCTATCCCCCAAATCTGGTCCATCTGATCAGACTTATTAACATATCAAAGTAAGTTTTCTCAGTATAAGAGTTCCTTTAAAGGACGTTTAAACCTGCTCCAGCATTGGCTGAATGAGAAATAGGTGAGTAAGTTCCTTGAATCAGGTGATTCTCTGTGGTGTTGACAAAAAAAAAAAAAAAAAAAAAAATCGAATTCTGTAAAATATTGAAGAGATTTATTCTGTGCTAAATATGAGTGACCATGGCCCATGACACAGCCCTCAGGAGATCCTGAGAACACGTGCTCCAGGTGGTTGGTGCACAGCTTCATTTTATGCATTTTAGGGAGACATCAATCAAACACATTTAAAATGAACATTGGCTTAATCCAGAAAGGTGGGACAACTCAAAGCAGAGGGAGTATGCAGGAAGGTGGGCTTCCAGGTTATAGGTAGATTTAATTTTTTTTCTGATCCGCAATTAATTGAAAGGAATATCTGGGTTACCATAAGAGGTTGTGGAGACCAAAATTTTATCATGCAGATGAAGCCTCCAGTTAACAGCCTTCAGAAAGAGTAAGATGAAAATGTTTCTTATAAGACTTAAAGCCCATGTTGATATTAAATGCAGGGCAGCTTTTTCTGGATTCCAAAAGAAAGGCCAGCATAATGACGCATGTATGACGCCCCTTCCTGTCATGACCTAAGTCAATCTTTTAGGTTAATTTGGAGGACCCTGGCCTATAGGAGGAGGTCCAGAAGGTTGAGGGGGGCCTTCACATTTTACTTTTGATTTACTGTGGCAAGGCTATTGTATATATAATCAGCAAAGTGACATCTAGAATACAGAAACTCACATTTTACAAAAAGAATTCTTATACATCAATAAGCAAAACAAGTCAGCAGGAAAAAAAGGAAAAATACAAATAGTTCACAGAAGAGGAAACTGGAAAAACCAGGAAACATACTTAAAAAAAGATCCTCAACTTCAGGGAAATGCAAAGTAAAACGAAAATCTTAAAAATCCCAAACTCTTTCTGATTGGAGAAATAGGAGCTCATGTGTTGCAGAGAATGAACTAGCAGAAACACTTAGAAAAGGTATGCAGCCAAATCTAGCAAATTGGAAGGTGTACATACTCTACAATCCAACACACAGCCTTTATGTACACAACCTTCCTAAGGAAACTGTGTGTGTGTACTAAAGGTGTGTCAGAGCATTCATTGCCACGTTTATAGTGGTAGGAAAAATTGAAAACTACATAAATTAAGATGAGAATTAAATCTACAGATATCAACAATATTGAATCTATAAAACTTAAGGTTAAGTGAAAAAAGCAAGTTGCAGAACAATACCATTTATTTTAAGATGAATAACATGCAAATTAATACTGTATTTTGTCAGATGTATTGAGATATAATTTACATGTAGTCAAATACCCCCATTTTAGTGGACAAGTCTGAGTTTTGACAAATGTATACAGTTCTGCGATGACCACCATAATTATGATATAGAACAATTCTATCATCGCCCCCAAAATGTACTTAGCCTCACCACTGAACCCCTACCCCTAGCAACTACTAGTCTGTCTTCTGTCCTAGAGTTTTGCCTTTTCCAGAATGTCATATAAGTAGAATCATACAGTAGCCTTTTGAATCTGGCTTCTTTGACTCAGCATAATGGTTTTCAGATTCATACATGCCACTGCAGGTATCGTGACCTGCTCCTTTTTATTGCTAAATAGTATTGTATTCTGTGGGTGTGGTATTCTATTGTATGAGTTTTATACATTTAACACTTGAAGGATATTTGAGTTGCTTTAAGTTATTGCTGATTATGAATCAAGTCTCTATAAATCTTGGATATAGGTTTCTGTGTGAATATAGGCTTCCATTTCTCTTGGGAATGGTATAACTAGGTCATATGGTACATAAATGTTTCTAAGAATCTATGAAATTGTTTACAAAGTATCTGCACTATTTTGCACTTCCCCAGCAATGTCTGAGGATACCAGTTGCTCGACATCTTCATTGACACTTGGTTTTGGTTTTTGTTTTTTTGAGAAGTAGTCTTGCTCTGTCACCTAGTCTGGAGTGAAGTGGCGTGATCTCAGCTTGCTGCAACCTCCACGTCCCAGGTTCAAGCGATTCTCCTGCCTCAGCCTCTACAGTAGCTAGGACTATAGGCAGGTGCCACCACAGCTGGCTAATTTTTTCTATTTTTAGTAGAGACAGAGTTTCACCAGGTTGGCCAGGCTGGTGTCAAACTCCTGGCCTCAAGGGATCTGCACGCCTCAGCCTCCCAAAGTGCTGGGATTAGAGGCATAAGCCACTGCACCCAGCCTGTTTTTAGTTTTGCTATGTTTTGTTTAATTTTAGTCACCAGCCTTCTTGCTCAAGTGCTCAAGCTGGGCTATTTAAGAAAGATTACAGAACTTGCACCAAACATTTTTTATGATGTCAATCACAGTTGTAAAGGAATGTGGACATTTTCACCATGAACAAGAGATATGATCCATGAAAGTTGAGGGGAGTTGGATGAAAAGAAAGAGATGGGAACCAAGGATCATAAATACGTATGAAGCAAATTCTATTTTTATCATGATTTTTTTTTTTTTTTGAAGCATCCATTTGAGACTGGAACGTGTTGATTTTTTTTCTCTTTTTTGAGACAGGATCTCCCTCTGTCACCCAGGCTAAAGTGCAGTGGCACAATCATAGCTTACTGCAGCCTCGAATTCCTGGCTCAGAGGATACTCCTGCCTCAACCTCCTAAGTAGCTGGGACTACTGGTGCATGCTACCATGCCCAGCTGATTTGTGTGTGTGTGTGTGTGTGTGTGTGTGTGTGTGTGTGTGTGTGTGTGTAGAGAGAGAGATGGCATCTGGCTATATTGCCCAGGGCTGGTCTGGAACTCCTGGGTTCATATGATCCTCCCATCTTGGCCCCTCAATGTGCTCTTATTACAGGTGTAAGCCTCCATGTCCAGTCACATTACGCATTTTTAAACAATCCAAAACAATGGCCACAGCTAATGAAAAATTACTTAGGAATGGTACACCAAGGACTTTATTGAACAATAATGGCTGACAGATGTGTGCCATTTTACAAAACCATTCCTTTTAGTCAGTCCCTCAAACTGCTTTCTCACACTTTAAACGGGAGCTAGGTCCTCCTGACTTGTTCACCTAGGGGCTCCATTCACCACGGTACCCCATGCTCCACTCATTAAGAGCTTCACAGAGAAATGACAGGAGGCTGGCTGGTGAGGGATGAGGAAGCCAGGGAAGGAACAAGGAACTGGAGTTAGGTATGAAAAAAAACAGTAGAAAAAAGGAAAGAGAAAGGAACTGGTAAAGAGAAAGATGAAAAAGTGAAAGGAGCCGTAAGAGGAATCACGTTTCTCTGCAGAGAAATCAGAAACATAAAGCTCTAAATATAAGTCCTTAGGAATTCACAGATACATGTTGTGTTTCCCTTTCAGCTCTAAAATTCTATACTTCTACCAAATGCCACATTTCCCCTCTTTATATTTCACTGTGATCCCATGGCAACAAAAGATTTTCCTCAGCTACCCAAGGGTTTAGGCTGTAAAGTGCCTGCACTACACAGTAAAAGTAAGTTCTTGCATTAGTTATCCAAGTTGTTTGAAATGAGGAAGCACATTTTCAGCTCGTATCTCCCTTTTTATCAGCAAATAGTAATTTAAAGCCATTTGCCCTGGCTATGGTTCCCGGGTGACAGACTATGGCCTATTAAAATTAATCCTGACGGAAGATCCTTGCTGCTTTCTCCAAGCCCATTCAGGCCATTGGTTTATGAACAGGATGAACAGACGGCCCATCCCAGAGGGCTTGAGGGAGGAAGCATGTTAAAATGGCTGCCTGCATCTTTGTTTGCTCAGCTGCCTGCAAAAACTAGGACTAAGGGAAATGGGATTAATCAAGGGGGCAGCTGCCCATGGGAAAAAAAAAATACAAAGACTGTGGTGA